CTTCTCTAAGGTATTTTGTCACAGCAATGAAAAACTATAATAGGGTAAGAATATTCACTCTGAGTGACCCATCAAATGTAAACAAAAGCCCTAAATAGAATGTATGAAACAGTTAGCTGAAGGCTCTGAAAAAGGTGATAACAGGTGAGTTGAAAAAGGAAAATAAATAAGTCTTGAGTACCACTGAAAAGCACACTACAGTTCATTTTTTTCTTCCAGTCTCTTCCAACCTGAATTCAAGGTAGCCTGAATGTCAGAAGCTTCCACTGGTGCTGACAGAAAGAGCTCCAATAGAAGTCCTCTGTTTCTGTAATAAGAAGCAGAGAGCAGGTAGAGGGCTCTCTATGGGTTTGAGAAAGTTAGAAATTTTTATTCTTTCTCTCCAACCCCAGCCCAGTGATAGATGAGGCCAGGCAGGCAGCATCTGGGACAAACAGCAGCCCTCCCTCTGACCAGGAGAACTGTGACACCAAGAACGTGGGGTTGGTCGGACATGCCCATTTGTTACTCGGCTCTCTGTTCTCCTTGTGGAGTAACAGAAACATTCACAGAATGTACTAAACAATAGGAGACAAAAGCCTGTTTCTATTTAGAGAACAAGTCAAGGAGGCACAAGGAAGAAGGAAGGTGTTGAGAAGTTGGCTATGACAAGGGAGTCCCAGAAAGTTGGCTATGGGCTGCTGGGCGAAGGGTCTTTCATATAAACAGTTCAATACCATATAAACAGTTCCCCAAACACCTTGGGAACAGAAGTAGAGGCGGGCTGTCACATAATACCAAGTTGTCTGCTAGGTGGCGCAAGTGTGAACCAGCCTTGAAATCCTAGAACCTTCTCATCACTCAGTGACGTTGGGGACAACGTGGCTGAATCTTACCAGGTGAAAAACAAGCTCTAACACAGAAGTAACATTCCCCACACGGGTCTCATGATGTGCAAATGTCTCAGATACCATTCCAGATAACCATTCATGTGAGAAACCGGGAAAATCTCGACATCTCACAGGACAAAGGACATTGATAAGTAAACTTTACAAATATTAGCAATTTTGCTCTGCAGAAATCATTGTTAATTAAGTGAAAGGATATGCTAATGACTGAGAGAAAATATTTGCAAATTAAGACAAAAGATCATTTTTTACACATGATGAGGGCTTCACACTGCTTCACTTTTTGGCAAACAGAATGCAGCACTGATCACTGAAGTATCTGCAGAAACACATAATGAGTTAAAAGGAAAGACAACTTCTGGTCACAATGTCCTTCCAAAAGATTTTGATTTTAAGAAAAAAATCCTTCAACTATTGAGGATCCCTAACCATTGACGTCACCTGCTCCTGACATCCGACCACTAACATCATCATGGCTGGATGATTCAGGATCACCCAAAGCACATGGTTTTTCTCTCTACAAATGAAAAATAATTCATTTTAGTGACAACTAAAATACTAAATATTATTTCTAGGAAGTAAGATGCTGTGTGAGTGCTTGGTAGGTGATATTACAAAGTTTTCCAATCGTTACAGTTTATGTCTAGATGTCCCCCAAAGTAGTCATAGGTGGAGCTTTTCAGAGCAGGTTGGATCTAGAATGTGTGATGGTGGGAAGTAAGGATGTGTGATCGTTAAATTATTTCACTAGTTGGTTTGGCATAGTTCTAAGAGTGGATAATGGGAAGGCCCTCCCTGAGTGAGAATGGGTAGCCCGGATAGAATATAATGGACAGAAATAGGGCTGCTGTGGTTGCTTGTCACTTGCTGCTTGCTGCCTTCTACTGTCTGCCTGTCATGGACTGTTTCTCCTTTGTGATGCCCTCTGTCGGGCCACCCTACCTTGGAGCCAACTGACTATGGACTGAAATCTCTACAACCTGTGAGCTAAATAAACCTTTCCTTTTTTAACTTTAGGTGTCAGGTATTTTGTCTCAGCAACAAGAAAAGTAACTAAGATACTATTGCCAAATTTTAAATGGATGGTTAAGGAAATAACATGAAAAGCTTCAAGTGCGTTTCAGGTGAATCGTTCTACAACTCTACACATACAGGAATGTGCACACACATAGCCACACTCAGGCACCCAAAATGCATTCCTTTGGGTTGGTAATAAATACAAGAGAAACAAACACATCATTGGAACGTTCATTTTCAAAGACACGTTTGGTTGAAGAAAGAAATCTGATGAACCCAGTTATATTTGAAGTACAAAAGCAAAAATTACCCCCATAACAAGAGATGGAACCGAAATAATTTTAGTTGTGGCAAACTGACAATACAGGCACTCATGATTTTATTATAGACAATTACAACCAATGAATAATCAAACAAAAAGAAATGGTCACCATAACCTCCCCTATGCTCCTTCCTGTCCTTGCTTGCATGTACAGCATATGTATCTAAATATCATCTCTATCTATAGCTCCAAGTTTTTCTATAAGAATAGTTGACCTTCTTCTAGGCTAATATAAAGGGCTATGAAAAACTGTGGTGGTTCATATTGTATTCTCCAAGCAGATCACCATGCTGTGGCCTAATATGTAAAAATTCTGAGGGTGTTATTGTTTACCATTCTCACAGAAAATGTTCTGTCTCCATGTTTTATTCCATTGTTTATATCATATGTACAAACCACTCCTCTATGACTGTAAATATTTCAATTGTTTAAGTTTTTTTTTTCTTCTAGTAACGTTTTTAAAGTTTAGGTTTTTTTCTTCAATTTATTTGGTTGTTTTGGGAATTGAGGTTGAAGGTGGGGAGATAGAAAAAAGATTATTATAGCTCTTTAGTTATAACAAGAAACAATGTTCTATCTGATTTACCAAACAGCCTTATCTACAAAAATGTTATTCTGCTAACCCCAACAAGTGTTAAGTGTGGAAACACAGAATGACATGTATTGGGAATATAATGGAAAATATGCTTATGTATTATTCTCATTTATAGTCATACATATACTGTATTATTTTTACTTTTGTTAAAATAAATCATTATATACAACTAAATAACATAATGTAAACACTAACTTAAATAGACACAATTTTGAATTGTTACTTATTACCAGACCCTTTATTTTTTTAAAGTGGCCAATAAATATAGATTTGGAATTTGTATTTTAATTCTTTTCAAAAGCCTCTATACATGGTCTCACACCCTTGGGTAATGTTCATATAACTAACTATCTCACTACTCTTATAGGGATTGTTTGGAAACTACCCAGGAAGTTCTAATTTCATAATCACCAATGGATCTCTCTCAAGACCAACAGCTCCTTGGCATCTCTATTTCTCCAAGACCGTCTGCCTCTCACTAAAAGAGCTCTTTCCTTCCTGTTGCCAGATCACATGTAGACTCAGAAGTGGCACTGCTAGATCAATAAAAAATAGCAATATTGCAATTCCACCTGGATCAAAGTGCCCTCTCAGCAAACCCAAGCAGAAAAAAAAAAAAAAAAAAACAGGCTTCACTAGAGAGAAATATATACTTAAAATTGTTCATAGGATTGGAGGACAATAGAGGTCAGGAGTTACCAGAATTCCTCCCAGATCAATACTACAAATCTGGTCATCTTAGGGACTTGCTCTTCCTGTGATAATTGGGAACCTAGGGAGTAAGAAAGCCATAGTCTGCACTGTGGGCTGCAGGACTATCCCACTTGAGCTGCAATCCAGGTGTCAAAAAGCTGCCTGGGCCCAAAGTCATGCTGACACAGCTAGATTCACACCAGTGCCGTGAACGCCTCACATCTGGTCATCTCTCCCAACTCCGCCAGGTCCCAAACTGAAACCCAACACACATGCATCTGAACTGAAAACCTAACACAAGTCTGAATCTCTAGTAACAGTGTTTTAAGGGAAAAGCAGGCATTCATTTTCACTGTCGCTTTTCAGACTCTGACATCAACGAAGGCACACCAGAAAAGACTGGTTTCTGACTAGTCAGAATCTTAGCAGGTATAAAAGCCTGAGTACCCCCAAAATTCATGTGTAGAAAATTAACCTCCACAGTGATGGTATTAAGAGGTAATTAAATTATGAAGACTTTACTCTTATGAATGGGAATAGTGCCCTTGGGATTTTTGTTGTTTCTTCCTGTCTTGTTTTCTGCACTCTACCAGTTCATTTTGAGTCAGGGTCTAAGTTTCCCAGACTGGCATCAAATTTACAATCCTCCTGCCTCAGCTTCGCAGGTAACTGGTACTACAGGCCTGCATCAGGCAAAATGTTCTTATAAAACATGCTTGAAAGAGCTTGTTTGCCCCTACCACCATAAGAAAACACATGAAAGGCATCATCTATGAGGAAAGGTTTCTTAGAGAACAACGATTTTGTAAGTGTCTTGCAAGTATCTTTTGCAATCTTGCAAGTATCTCGATCTTAGACTTCCTAGCCTGGAGAACTGTGAGCAATAAGTACCTATTGTTTATAAATCATCCAGTCTGGTGTATTTTATTATACATATATATACATATACGCCGTCTTTTACTATAGTGCTATTCTTGGGAAGGCTGATTTATGTTTTTTTTCTGTGTCCTAACTCCCCCATTCCTTAACCCACAAAATATGAGTTATCTTTCTTTTTCAGTCTCTTTGCTTTGATTGTTTTCTTCTATTCTTCTTCTGTTCCCATTTAGTTTTCTCTGCATTCTGACTTCAGCACCTCACTTCTCTCAGCCTGCATGCTCTGCCCACCACTCATGTAGCTTAACCCACCAAACCATAACTTCGACCATAAACTCCTCCCAAGGAACAGAACCAGTTTCTTACAACACCCTAAAAATGCCCACCTGCGTATCACAAGCACCTCGAGCTTCATTTGTCCAATCCTGGGATGCGCTGTTTGTGTACACTGTACGGTTCACCCACTCCATAGAGCTAGACCCCGAAAGTCAGTGGAATTTCTTTCTGTTCCTACACTTGGTCTCCTAAAACCCATAAGTTCAGTGGAATATTTTATCTGTGTTCCTAGTGCAGTATGTGTTCTTCAAAGAAAGACCTCAGACATGCTCATTCTAACATTTTATTGGAAATGGGTTGTGTACATCAATGAAATAAAATCAAGGAAAGGCATCATTTGTACATAGTAATACTCTACTATCTGTGCTATCCTCTAACATAATTTAACAAATTTTAGGATGCCTCTGATTTGGGTAACCAAGAACTTCAGTGGTCTGGAAATATCTCTATATAAACATAAATCATAGCATCTAAAATAACCATCATTACTTTAATTTGATCCCAAATGCCTTGGAATATCCTGAAATATAAGTACCTTGGATTGGCTGCAGTGCCAGTGGGGTAGAGGGAAGCGAGTACATTTGAAGCCACTATACCAGGAGCTGGGAAACAGTGACACAGCATCTCTAGTGTAGGACACGCAAGGGATGGGTCTGGAGGTCCTGAAAGCTGGGCACCATATCTGGCTACCCTGCATTTTCCAACATTGCTTTAATGTCAACGTTAACAGAGACCTGAGACTCCAATGCGGAAAGAAGCCCATTACCCCAACTTCCTTATCACTGCCAGATAATGGTGGGATCCTCCTCTGGATTACACAGGGGCAGAAACTCTGGCACAGAGAAGGTTCTGGAAAGTTCTACCCACCTCTCTTCCTCTGTCAAACTCAGCCCTCACTCCCCCAACTGACAAAATTTGAGGGAGTAGCAATCTATAAAGAAAATAATCGAGCTACTGTGCTGCTGGTCCCTTTGAGCGAGGACAGAATGGCTTTACTTGGTTTCCCTTGAGGAGCACGGGCAAAGGCTGTTCTGTTCCCAGCATTCCCCTTACCACCTTTAAGGCCATCACCAGCTTTTAGGTTCTTTGGTTCTTCAAAGCATTTCAGCACACTGTGTCAACACCTGGAGGCCTGTGGTGGCCTTGCAGCTCACAAACAGCTTTCATCTTCCTTGAGTCATTTGGTTCTCACAGGCCTATGAGGTAGGAAGGTTGAGGATCATGATCCCCAGCTGAAAGATAAGGAACCTGGAACTCAGAGTTAGGTCGCTTAACCAAATTCACACGGTTGGCCGGCTGCAGAATCAAAATCAGAATGCAAGTGTAACTCCAAAGTTCATCCTACTTCTCCTGAGAACAGGCGTGTCCGCATCCCCAAGCTGACCCTCTTGGATGGTTCTCAGACGGCCCCGCTGAGGACGGGATGAGTCCTCATGCGGTAGATGATGACTGCAGTGGCTGGGCACAGCAACAAGGAGGTCATGATGACAATGGTGGCCAGGATGATGAGGACAATGACCCAGATATCCAAGATGTGCTTGGGAAGCACAGCTTCTGCAGGGGATTGGCTGAGAGCATCCATGCTCCCCACTCTGCAACAGACAGAAAAGAAAATCAGCCTCATGCACCATCTTCTGCCTTCTTGGTTGGACGGACACCTCCAGAGGTCAGAAGCCTGGGGCACTGACCAGCATGTGATCTTTTAGGTTCCTCCATCAGTAATCATAATGGCTTCACTTGCTGGAGGCCTATTAACAAGTCTGTGAAAGGCACCTTATATCTGTTAATCCATTCATTACTCACCTCAACCACCAATCCCATGAAGAAGGGACCATAATAACTGTCCATTCTTCTGTTTCTTGACTTTCATCCTCCGTTACGCCCATTTCATGGATGAGAAGTCAAAGCCATAAAAGATGCAGATGCCACTAATTTGATCATGGAAGTAAGAGCAGATGGATGGAACTCCAGAGCTTCCATGCTTATTTATTAAACTACCATGCTACCAGTCTGTTTTCCTCAATAATGAAATGAGAAATTCACTGTTTTTAGTCCTGGGTCCCTTTTCTCACTCTCCTGGTCACATAACTCCTTTTCTGAGGAGACCCCACCTCATGGGTTCCACGTGGTTCAGCTGGGGCACTGATTTGAGCACAGCAATGGAGCTATGATCTGGGCTTACCCACTACAAATCTCCATAGCCACGTTCGGAACAGGCAAGTGGCCCAGGCTGGTAAACCTAAGTCGCCCAGTACCTTCATGCACAGCTCTTGGGAAAGAAGATTCTTTCTGCTGGAATGGCTAAAGTGAAAGGGTCTGGAAAGAACGGACTCGGGGCCGTCTTGCTTACATGTGAAGAGCTGTCCAAGAGAGGAAAAGACATACAGAGCCTGGAGGCTCACGTGAGCCTGTTTGAGGCCATCTGCAATCCTAGACATCCCAAATATGTCAGCCAATAACTCCCTGCTTCTGCTTAAGCTAGCGTCCATTTGACATCTCCCACTTGCAGATAAGACTTCGGATGCATAAAGATGTAAATCAGTTATGCCCAATCATTTCTTACTCACAGTGACCTTACTGTCTTTGTAATTTTTTCACAGCACCCCAGGCCAAAAGAAATATCTAGCAGTTCTACATACTAACTAGTTGAGTAAACAACTTAATAAGTATCTATATCCTAATGACTTAATAACTTGTAAAAGTACAAGTTAAAAGAAAAATATTATTTCGTTCTTGTTTACTAATGGAGTGTATGTACCTTTGGGGCCTTGAGCGACTTTTCAAACTTTGAAACAAGGTTGAATGGTTCTATCCTCTTCTGATTCCATCTTAAAATTTTTTTTTTCTTGGCCAGAATTTGACATATCACAGCTACTGTTAAAAACTTAATTCCATAAAATATAACATCACTAAATGGAATGTAGTATATTTCATGTTTAGCACTTTGCACAGTGTCTGAAAGATACCCTGTATCATTATCTCTGCTAAAAATTTTAAAGATCCTACAGCAACCCCATTCATTACTCTTTCCAGCAAGTTCACTGTGGCTCCCCAGGGCACCTCAGTGAGTGTACAGGTTAAGAACGTATAGTTCACTCCCCATTCAGAGAGCAGGAGGCTGGAACAATCACCAATAGCTCCATCTAAATCTAAGATCCACAATTCCGTGACTCTAGGTTCAGACAAAATTCCTGAATTTGGCCCTATTTCCTTTTCTTACATCATTACTAGCTTTTCTTTTCTAATGCCTTTGGTTTGATGCCCTCTGTTGCAACCCAAGTAAGCCATCAATCACTGCATCCAAAATAAAAGTACCCAGGATATGCACAGAAGCACATTTCTGCATTTTATGTTACAGCAGCCAACACGACGAAGGTATCCACAAGTGTAGGATAAACTGGAGTACAGCCATATGCGATGGTTCCAATACTAGCTCATGTGTTGATTTAATCCCATAGTGAGGTATTAACAAGGTGAAAAGATAATATGACTACAGTGTGTAAAGGTGGGGACTTGAGGTGACTAGGATGACATTAGTCATCACGGCGGAAACCCCCATGCCTGAATCCCACCGACTTTCTAAGGGGTAGCAATGATAAAAGAGATCCACACAGCGGCTCCCTGTCTCTCGCCACATGATGTTCTGTGCCACCCTGTGCCAGCAACAAAGCTGTCACCAGATGTGCCCCACCTTTCTACCAGAACTGTGAGCTAAATAAACTTCTTTACAAAGTTTGCCTGTCTCGGGTACTTTATCATAAAGATGAAAAACAGACTTAATATATCATGGAATAACAGCAATTTTTATGCATGCATTCATTAGTTCATTTAACAAACAGGTAGTACTGACTATACATCAAGCATGTTCCAAGTACAATAAAAATATTAATTTATTTAACACAACCATTATGAAAAACCAGTATGGAAGGTCCTCAAAAAACTAAAAGCAGAATTACCATATAAGCCAACAATTCTACTCCTGGGTATATAATAAAATGATTCAGTATCTAACCAAATGAAGTCAGTGAGTCTGTATACCCATGTTTATTACAGCAGTGATTACAGCTGTTAAGTTATGGAATCAACCAAAATGTCCCTTAATCATGAATGGATAAAGAAAAGGTAGTATGTATACACCATAATATACAATTCAGCTTTCAAAAAAGAAACGATGTCATTTGTGATAACACAGGTGACCCTGGAAGACATCATGCTACATGAAATAAACCCGGCAGAGAAAGACAAATACTACATGTTCTCATTTATATTTAAACTCTAAAAAATATTAAAATATAAGAGCAGAACAAGATGGTGACTGCTGTACACTGAAGAATGCAGAGATGTAGTCAAAGCATACAGTATCGCTAGGCTTCTGGGGAGAAGGAAGGTTACAAGTTTCAGACCACCCTAGGCAATTCACCGCAAAATAAAATGTATTAGAGGGATGGAGTGTAGCTCAATGGTAAAGTGTTTAGGACAAGGCCCTATGTTCAATCCCCAGCGCCACAAACACAGACACACAAAGTACAATGTTGCCATTAAACAAGAATAAGAAGTGGTAATAATAATTATAACTTGCTGGGTGTGGTGGCACATAATGAAAACGCCACCACTGGGAGGCAGGAAGATTACAAACTCAAGTCTTGCAACTTAGAAACATCGTGAGACACTGTCGCAAAGTAAAAAATAAAAATGTCTGGGAATGCAGTTGAGAGTAAAGACCCTAGGTTCAATCCCCAGTATGAATGAGAAAAGGAGAAGAGATAGCAGGAGGACGGAGAGGGGAGAAGAGGGACATATTTAATAATTATTAGAAAATAATCTAGACGGCCGGGGATTTAGCTCAGTGGCACCGCGCCTGCCTTACAAGTGCAAAGTCCTGAGTTTGATCCCTGGTACCACAAATAAAAACAGTAACAATGATCTGATATTGGAGAGGTCCAGGATATCTTAAACGGAAAAAAGAACAAACAAGGTGCAGAATAGTGTGCATAGAATGGTTCCTCCGGTTCAGGCTGTGTAGAGTTAAGTATATGGATAGGTAAGGACATATCCATAAAAAGTATGTTCTGAGTGTAACCTCAAGAAAGGGTTAACGGTGGATACCTTTGTAGGGAGTTGGGCCAGAGGTGTGAGAGGTTTTTGCTTTTCACTCTTCATGCTTTTATGCCACTGGAGTCTGCTAAAAACAAGCATATGTTCTGATCTTTTTACCACAATTCAGGAAAAAAATGGAATCTGGGTGTTTTTTTCTTTCTAATTCTCTGGGTTGTTTTTGGTTTTGTTTTGTTTTGTTTTGTTTTGTTGTTTTTGAGACAGGGTCTCACTATGTAGTTGAGACTCACTGTGTAATCTAGGCTGGTCTCGAACTCACAGTGATCCTCCTGCCTCAGTCTCCCGAGTGCTGGGATTACAGGTGTGCACCACCATGCCCGGCCTTCTAATTCTCTGTATTAAAAGTAAATACATATATATTTTTTTAGGGGCCGGAGATTTAGTTCAGTAGTTCCGCTGCCTGCCTCGAAGCACAAGGGCCTGAGTTCAATCCCTGGTACCAAGAAAAAAAAAGTAAAAACATATAATTTTAAAATAAAACTAAAGTATATGACTAGATCAAAGATCACCAAATGCTACCCAGTGGTGTCAAACCTATGGCACAAATGCTGCAGTGGGCTGTCTGTTATCCTTTAAAGCTCTAAAAGGTTCACTGTCACTGCTATACACTGTGATAAGTGAGAATTAGCTTAGGACAGAATAAAGAAAAACCTGATCTCTGGGTCTCATTCGGACTTAGTGAACGGGACTCAAGAGAGGATGGAAGGTGTGTTTCCCCCTTCACCGGCTGACCAGAAAGTGCAGCCAGATTTGGGAGCTCCTGGACTCCACCATCTCTAAAGTCTCTCAGACACATTCCGGCACTGCGCATTGGGAACTGAGTCCTAGGTTCTCTGCAGCCCGGCTGATCCCGCCTGGGCCAGTTCCAAGATGAAGGAAAACTCTGCCAGGATTCCCAGGGCTTCGGGATTATCAGGCTGGCCTACAGAGGAGAGAGGCACAGCCTGGCCCTGACTCAGCTGCAGCGATGGAGTCATTTTCAGCAAGGTCTAAGAAATAGGAGAATGAGTCAGAAGAGAAGAAAACAGCTAAAGAGGAAAGGGGGAGGGAGAAATCATTCTTTGTGGTCTCCTGCTTACATCAACAGCTAGTTTGCCTTCGGCCAGAGGAACTCCACAAAAACCCTTTCCAGTAAATCGCTAACATCAAACAGTCACTGGGACTCCAAATGCCAGGAATACATAATCTCCCTGAGTGGTTTTAGTAAGCAAAACCTGTCATTTACAGGAATGCTGCCTTCAGGAGTCACACACCACAGAATGTTAAAGCAAGAGCCAGTCCTGAAAGGGAGATCGACGAATCTCCTCCACTTCCAATCCTACCCGTTTCCATCATAATTACTCGAATAAGTATCTGATCACATCACTGCCCCTTGCTACAAGGAAGCAAAGCAGAGCAACTTACTGAATGAAACATTTCCTGTAACCTATATCCTAGACTATACCAGTACGACTCGTGTGCAAGTGAAATTGGATTT